GGGAAATAACGGAAATACCGGTATCAGTCGTAAAATCAGTGTATGAATAATGGACTAACAGTGAGTATGAAAAAGTCAGACAGCATTTGGCTCAATGATAAATTGTATTTGCTGACAAGGTCATTGTATCGACCATAAAACTTAAACAATGATGACTTTAAACGAGACTGCTGATATTCTTGTTTCATTAACTTGTTTGTCAATAATTTAGCTCGTTTAATAAATTGTACATACGTATAGAACATGCTCTGGCGTATTGAATCAACTACAAGATATAAACCCCCATATGCAGACCTGTGATGAAAGTATATTGCTGCATAGGTAAGGGAATTGATGATTGATAAGTTAAAGTCACCACCGTGATCACGTTTATCATAAAGCACTGTACACAACAAATCATTTAATGATATTTATTTCCCCCAAAATATCAACCATTTTAATATAATTTAATACCATCAATTAAAAAATGCTATAATTAGAAATGTCTTGCTTCCCAAAGTTTACGATCTGGTAAACAAACATTTATAAATGAAGAGATCAGTTCAAAACATATTAAATCATTTCATCTAGACATGTATGATCTAGATAAAGGTTTTACACAATAATACTAGGGTTAGTATTTTGACATACATGTGTACTGTCATCGTGTTTTATTCAGTACATTTGAAAATAGCCATTTATATCCACTTGTTTTCATTTTTGATACATTTTCAAGGTTGCACTAAATCGGAGTAGGTGATCTCCCCTTTTCATTCTTGCGTCTTGAACCCCGAGTCTTCCGTCACCCTGAATCCTCAGCAGTCGCCAGAATTTGGCCAGTTGTTACATGAAGTATGAAGGTACAGAATTGGCTCAAGTTTATGATGGGTTTCCCAAGATGATGAAGTGTCGACGCATGGGGAGCAAATACTTTTGACGTATTTCATTATCACATTTTACGTCCAAGTTATATTTTACATGATGCTACACTTTTCACCAACTGCCTCCATTTTCTTTTCATACTCCTTTACTTCCTCCAGATAAGATAATGGCGGCCATCTGTTTTCCTCCACGTGGTCTTTGTTGCTTCCTGTCAGAAGAGGAAACTCCTTCCTTTTTTCAAAAGCGATGTAGTTGGAGGAAATAAAATGGAGACACCAGTTCGAAAGCTGCTCTGCGTTATGGAGCTACAACATGACAAACATACGAAATAACTATTACTATTTACATTTATTAACTTGATCATCTTCATTTAGAAAAATTAACAGCAACTTATTAACTGAATAATAAAAGAAAAAGACTGATTTAAGAGGGAAAAAATCTAGTAAACTTTTCAGAGTGGATATTTCAGGAATACTTAAACAATTTAAGTAAATTACAAATTACACATCTACTATAACTTACCAGACACTTAAAAGTCTCAAAGTTTAAAATATTAACTTGTTTGAACATATCCTCAACAAAATAAACTTACCTGAGATGTGAGTAACAGGCCTATGACGTCAATTTCTGACTTTTCGATTTGTTTGCTGACGTTGCGATCTACTTCTTTTGTGATGTAAAGTTCACATAAATTAATTAGTCTCTTTTGACAATATTCGTCTGCCAAAACCATAATTCCAACCGAGTCGCCCTCCTCAATGGGGGCGTGGTCTGTATATAGGTATTCTAAAAGAGCCAGGAAGCATTCTGATGTCACTTCCTGTAGTTTTACTTCAGATACAGTGCTAAGACTTTCCACAAAACTTCCCCCAAACATGGCTGACATTACTTCACATCTCGCTCCAAGAACAACCTTATTGGCGTAAATTTCAGTCCCTAAAAGAGAATTCATATCAATAGTAAAAAACTTTTAATAATTTTTTTCTGACAAATCTTCAATATTTAAACTTCATTACTTTGGTTTATTTTTAAGAAATAAACAAAATATTTAACATGTCATACCATCCACGTGGAATATGACGTCAGCATAATCAGGGTTATTCAAAAACATTTCTTTCATTCTCTTTCCTGTTTCGTCATTGAGATAGGTTCCTATGCTCGGATTCAGAAACTCTTGTTCTGTTAGACAATTCTCACAGATTGTTTGGAGTTGACCTAACCCGAACATTTTAGCTACTCTGCTCAAGTCATGGATTTCCTCTTCAATATCAGAAACTTCTTCTGGCAAATTTGGTAATCCTAAATCAAACATAAGTATAAGTTTACATAAAGCAATAAAAAATAACAGTATCTGAAGCAATTAAAATATCTTCATTGGTACATTTTATGAACTGTTACCTGTGTATAAGAATTGTAGAAGTCGTACAAAAGTTTTTGGTTTGATTCCATCACAAAGCTGCACCGTCGTGTGTTTTTTACCAACATCCTCCTCTAGGACCGTTGCTATGCCTTCTACAGCCCCGGATGTCAATTCTTCCATGGTGAAAGTTTCATCTACGATTTTGGATAACTGATTTTTCTAAAAAAAAAAAGTTTGAACTCTTTAGTTGGGGTTCTGTGAAATAATTTATAGTAGACTGAGACATAGTATGTAGTTTAAAAGAGAAAACGAATATGTACCTGTTTACACTGTGTGTATCTGAAGACTTTTTGAAAGAATTTGGAAGCTGCACACAAGACCAGGCGATGGGCCTCTAGCTTATGGTTACCGTCCAGTATGAAGGTCACGTCCGTGTAGGAGGGGCTCTGTAAAGCTTTCATCCAATCAGAACTAAAGGTCGAGGTCATAATCTCCACCCAGGGAGCCTTGCCTGCAACATCAAACAGGAAAAGCTACAGACATGATATTATATACGATACTCAAACTACGGGTTATATTTCCCTTTTCTATATTCTATTATGCTTCCAAATGGCGTGAAAGGGCAAGCCGCAAGCACATCCAAAATTTAAAAACTACAGTAAATTACTGTAGAAAAGTATAGGGTACTGTAAGTTATGTAAGATATAGCATTACTAGAGCATTTGATCGAACGCTTATAAGTACAGTGGGTGTGGATTCTGACGACTCACCAGCAGGGGGCATGACAGGCGCTATAGGGAGGGGCTTCTGTTTCTTCTTAAACATTCCTCCCACTATACCCCCTTTTCTCCTTGATTTTTTAACTCCTATATATTCCAGGGATCGTTTGATCTGTATAAAATATATAATTGATGACATATACTGTATTCTCCAGGAAAAAAACATTCCGAAGAAAGCTTGGACTTTCACTAAGGCATGGCATTCTCGGTGCTACGTAATTAGCGTCTGTCAAATGGCGAATAGATTTTCATTGGTTACAAAATTAATAACATCAGGAACTTAAAATTGTTGTGGACAACGATGAGAATACTTAAGCTCCACCTTTTTGCAGGACGAGACAATGTTATTGCTTATTTGATACACTAATTGGCATTTGCCCGAATTTGTATCCCATATACAGTTCAACAGAGAAGGTGAGCTCTGTAGATTTCAGAAGCTAAATGTAACGTCGAGAATGCCACGCTTTACTGAAAGTCCAATCTAAACTGGGAATTGTCCTTATATCTGAAAAATCGGAAAGATGCATGTATATGGCAGAAGCTAAGAAGTAACAGAGAGACATACTGATGAGGAGAAACATTCCCCGAGCCCCGTCTGAGTAAGTGAGCTCGTCTCACAGAATGACGCCCCAATCCTTTTGGCCATGTCTTTACCCTCCTCTGTCGTGACAAGGCTACTAGAACCCCCTGACCTCAGATCTACAAGTATAAAATAAACTTATCGTGCATACATGGGAATCTTGATTCACTGTTTTCATATGGCTAAATTAGTATGAACTTTAAAAGTTTGCAGAAGAAGTTAAAGATAGTTGCCCTGACTCCAATCAATATAATAAAGAGTCTGCAATCAAATCGTTTTATTGTCTGAAGACTATATTACATCTATGGTAATGACATAATGTACCTTTTTTACAGGCTCTATTACATTAATAAAGTATATTATGGTCATGCATGAGACAATTTTTATGTGTTTAACAGGTAATATTATATTTATACCACATGCTGTAGTGACTTCATTTACCTATTTTGCAGGCGACCAAGTGGATCGGAACATCAGGACAATGATGTCGGAGTTCGGGTATCCATTTCGCCTCTACGTTTTCGAAAGAGTCTCTGCTTTCTATACTGTAACACAGGAGAAAGACATCGGTCTGGGGGTAAGACAGGGGACGTAACCTGTCATAATCCTCCTGGAAAACGTAGACAATATACAGGTGAATTCACAAATAGGAACGAAACTAGGTTCTGTACTTTTGAATATTCATATCAACCATGATTGAGCAATCGATATAAAGGCTACATCTTTTCACAATAAGTTATATAGTATGTTTCTTTATATGATTTATAAGTGGACACCCTCCTATTAATCCGTCTATATATATGGTTTCTTTTGTTGAAGATTTTCCTCTAACATAATCATATTGAATGTATATTTTTTACTAACACATAAAAAAATTTCACTTTTATTATAATATTTTAGAGTGTATGTACAGAACTGACGCACCTGTCCGGCCGTGTCCCAGAGCCCCAGACAGTAAGGTTTGCCGTCCACCGTGACGTTGGCGCAGTAATTGTCAAACACTGTGGGGACATACTCCGAGGGGAAGGCGTTAGTGGTATAGGCGATCAGCAGACAGGACTTGCCCACTGCCCCGTCCCCCACCACCACCAGCTTCATGTTCTCCATGGCGTTATATATGGTCGACTATGGCGGTATGGTCTACTAGAAAGAGCAGACAGAGTTTACCGTCACTACATGTTAAGGCTTCAACCGATTGATACACCATTAAAGGTTTTGTTAAACCTAAATACAATACAATGATAATTTTTTGTGTTACAAATAGATTAAAAAGAATGTCCAAGGTGGTCCAAAAAGAAATAAATATCGATATATTTTTGACACTTTATGACGTTTTAACACCACAAGATATGTAATTTTCAACAAACTTCACTGTAAATACGTTTGATCAACAATTAAAGGTCCTAAGAAGGAGCATGCATATATGATTATTTCAGTATGATCACAATAAATTAAAATTAAAATATATCTTATTATGTTTGAATATTTATCATTTCTACCATGAAGGTACGAATGGAAGAAGTACAATAACACAAGTAAGATGCAAGATTTGATATATAATACGGTTGGTTCTTGACAGTCAAACAAAAGGCAAATATTGCTTATAGTTATATTATTTTCATTAAAATCAGGAAAATGAGGCCTGTTCCAAGACACGGTTAGATTGTAGTAAAAACATTGATTGGCTGGGTTTTCTAGCCTAAGAGTTTTTTTTCACCCTCAAATAATCCACGGTCCCAGCCGATTTTTTTATATGTCATTCGGGCTTTATACGAAGTGTAAATGTTCGTTTAGAAGCTTAACAACCACTCCAAATGTTTATAGATGTAGCATACATTTACCTTCGATACACTATGATACAAACAATTCTAAGAAAGTAAATGAATAAATTTAAGAAAAAAAGAATAATGAACAACCGTACCTTGTTAAATTCTTGTCCGGTTTGTGGATGATGTCAACAATAATATATAAACCGATTTATAGCCTCATCCGCTTCGGTTATATTTATAACATGGTGAAATACGGATATATATATTGACCAATCAGAGTGCAAGATATATTTAAACACACAACGCTGTGTTAAAAATAAACACGTACTATGGTTTGAGGTGGATCAATATATTTCTTTCATAAAATTACTTTAAAACAGGCTACACCAGGAAGTATGTCAAGCATGTATTTTTTCTCATGTACATAAGTGATTTCACCTCTTTTATAAAAATGCTGATGACAATGGATTAAATAAAAAAAAAATGTTACGGTTATATTATTTGATCTCTGACTCTCATTCACTTTTGCATGTATTCATGGATTCTTAATCACCCATCTAAGAATTATCATCTAATAAAATTTTCATTCTAAAAACTTGCATAATTAATTTCTTTAGAAACCATTCACAAATTTAAAAAAAAAAAAATTACCCGCTGAAATACTTTCGAAGTAACTCACTAACTGTAAAAACTGGAGAGAAAAAAATAAGGGGAAACTTACTGAAGTCGCAAAATTAAATTCTGCTTATTTATCTTTTCTAAAGAAAGAAAATGGTGGTGGGGCTTAGGGGGAAAAAGTTAGATTAATTACAACGTGGTAACTTCCATGAATTCGGTATGTACAAATCCATTTGCAGATTTAGAATAAGTGCTCATGACCTAAGAATTGAAAAAGGCAGATATGAATCTGTAAAAAATAATGCTGGTCAAAGAATTCCCTTAGATAGAAACAAAAGAATATGTTTAATGTGTAACCAAAACAATATAGAAGATGAATATCATTTTCTTACTGAATGCCCGTTATATACTGAGGAGAGAGATAAATTTTTTCGTGATATCTCATTACTTAACAAAAATTTCATATTATTATCGAAAGGAGACACATTTCTCTGGTTAATGTCTAATGAAGACAATCTAATTATTACAAAGCTAAGTGAATATCTTGTCAAAGCCTTCAAAATAAGGCATAATGCCATTAGTTTTCATAAATGATGTTATAAACACATATTTATTTGTATACTGGTATATATGTATATTGATAATATTGATTTTGATCGCATGTTTTAAAATTAATTAACAATTTGATAACCCCAACTGCTGCATCTACATGTTTAGTTACTTGTAATAGTATATCAGATATATACATATGTGTGTGTTTATGTTTGTGTATGTTTACTAACCTTTCTTTCAGAACTTTCTATCTTGTCATTGTAAGAAACCTTTATGCCTTCTGGGCCCAAAATTGGAAATAAAATTATCTTATCTTATCTTATCTTATCTTGTACGTATGTATGTATAGTGTACAGCTATATACATGTATATATACCCAATCATTCGGTCCTATGTCTCTGTGCCCCTGTCTTTAACTTAAGACCAAAGGTAAATAAAGAGATCTATATGTGTACATACTGCTCTGTATTGATTTTCAGTTGATTGAATTTAAATCCTTTCGACGCCGAATAACGTTACTACTGAAACGTCACGGATGCCGTACTGTGACGTCAACTAAGACGTAAAATAGTTGCGTCAGGAAAAAAAGCGTCAAAGAGATCATGAAAAAGCACCTGTTTGACCAAGGTGATAGGATGTAAGCAAAATGCTTATAAAAGAGTCATCTCTATTCCTATAATTTTAATCTCAGTACAATAAAGTAAGCAAACAATAATCCTTTTAATAGCTAGCAATTGCAAGGACAGACTTTAAATAGAACGAAAGAGACCCCAACTCTTTTTTAGAATAATATTTCTACTAAATATTATTAAATTATGACTGCCGTATACGAGAAAACGGAACCTTATATAACCTGATACTTTCTGAATGCAAATATGCATAACTTTTAATAATATAATTTCTCATTTTCCAGAATTTTTTGAGCATTTAATTAATTAAGACGCGTCGAAACAACGTTGGCGTTAATCAATGATAATGTTTTATCGTTGCGGGTCTCGAATTCACTTTCTAAACATTACCGACATTTTTAAATAATATCTTTATTGTGTTGATACAATGCCCCCCCCCCCCCCCCCAAAAATGAAAAAGAGAGAAGTCCAGTCCGAAAATTAGGGCACCTCGCAAAAAAAAAATAAAAAATGATCTCTATATTATAGATTAAAGATTACTTTCATTTAGATGACCTTATGGTATATAAAATTGGTTTTTCAGGTTTAAATCATAAATAATTAAATTTTTTTTACTACCAAGCGGATTTTTTAAATTTTACTTTTTTTCAAGAATAAGTTGATAATATATATTTGAATTTTCAGTTTCCATTTTTATTTTTTTAAATTCAATTTCTTCGTCTGAAACACAATAGAAACATAAAACAGCAGGATCATTTACATAATGTTATCAAAGTATTGTTTTGATTGATTGATTGATTGATTTTATATTGTTTAACGCCGAGTCGGCAATTTTTCTGCCATATTTCGGCGGAGGTATTGTTTTGATTATGTTTATTCCATATTCAAAAATTAAAATCATTACTTGTATTTATGTTTTTTTAAAAGTAAATCAGACTGTATCAAAAGCAGTAATAAAATTAATGCTCCTGAACTTCATTTTTTTTTTTTGGTGGTGGTGATGGGGGGGGGGGGGGGGGGGGTCTGGGCTATCGACGCTTTTAACACTTGGACACATTAATTCAGCATCATCTCAAAAACGTCGTAGAAATTGGTTTCTATGATATAGATTCCAAATGTCGGAATGACTTGGCCATTCGCGATCATATTCCCAAACACAAGTTCTCACCTGCTTGACAGAAAAAAGTATAGCCGAGAGTCACGTGTCATGCTTTAGCATATATATGAGTTCGACATTCTAATTTTAAGAAAAATTAAATTGTTACATTATTTACATTACGCATGGTTTAAAGTAAAGAACTGTCTGAATTCCTGGAATTGATTAAATCTCGTCAGATATTTTAAATCAATGATATGTCTATTCAACGATTGTCTGGTTTCCAACTCAGCTTTATGAAAAGTTCAAAATTGAAAAAAAAAACCGAAACAAAAAAAAATGTATAGTTTGATCAATGATAGGTGTACTGCAGTCATTTGACAAAATCTATTATTCATTATATTTATATAGTTAAATTGTGTTGAAATGTACATATTTATTGTATATGTCTAAAGCAATAAAGAAATAATTCGTATAGGTCTCTTTGTTTGAGGCCGTGCAGATAGGCATATCCTTTAATACTACGGCTTTAATTGGACTCTCTTCATCTCAACCATTTTGTTAATACAAAGTAACGCTTTCTTGGAATCTAAATGTTACAGAACATGACTTGTAATTTTACAGGTTAGGTTTTTTTTTCGTTTTTTTGTTAAGCGTCCACATTAAAGTAAAAAAATCCTTCTATCCGAATAAAAAAACACACACATGTACTGAAGTAGAAAAGCGAAACATGAAGAATTTCTCATCATCATCTGGGAATATACATTGTATCAAATATAAACTACTAGTTTAGCGAAATCCAAATTTTTGGTACACAAAAAAGGGAAAGGGGTGCCGATCTCAAAGAGTAAACTGTGTGGCAAACATTTGTATTTGTACATTTTCATGGTGTGTTTGTTTTCAAATGGACCTCAAAACGAATTCCGAGTCGTCCGCTAACGCTACACATAGAGTTTTTCAATTCAATGGATCTTGCAGAAAACCTAAAATTTTTTTTTTATGAGATGGCTTCTGGTTGCTTTTATTTTTCATTTTCCCAAAATGTATACGACCTTGCTAAATTTTCTTTGTTTAAGAACGCCCAAAAATCTTTAGATTGGGCAGGTAAACATGTTTGTTTAAAAAATGATTAATTTTTTTTTATTTTTTTTTTTTTTTTTTTTTTTTTTTTTTAGAATTTTATTACATAAAAAAAATTAAGCTTATTGAACATAATAACCTCCGCCTGATTGATAATAACGAAAATCAAGAACAAAAAATGAAATAGTTTCAATATCCCAGGCTTTAAAGCTTGAAACTTAAAATAAGAAAATGATTTGATCTTTTTTTTTGTGGGGGGGGGGGGGTAACTTTCAGTTGATCGGTAGGTATCTGGAAACAAACCAATTTTTAGCTCTACTGGTCAGAGACCATGCAGAAGAGCTTATGCGATAGTAATGCGTCCGGCGTCCGTCCGTCTGTCTGTCTATCTGT